ATAACATTCCGATCCATTCCCTATTCTACGAGGTGATCCTATATAAGAAGTATATCTTCCAGCGAGAAATCCAAGAAAACAATGAATGTTAAAAAAAATTAACCCAAAAAATTATGAGTCATTGTTTCTTGTGTCGAAAATCAAGCTAAAATCCATGTTAGCCGCATTTCTTTATGGTTAAAACATTCAAAATGTAGGTCTTCAAGGCGTACACTTCCTACCTTGTTAATGTTTCGTATATTCCTCTACAAACGAACAGATTCAAAATTTTCAGATATGAAATCAGTAACAACAACCGATGTCATTACAAACATCTCAAAACAATTAGATTGTACAATCTCGTATTTATAAACAAATTAAATTTAATTTCATATATCCTAGTTATTAGTCTTACAACCTGTTGGATGATACATAAAAAAGATAAGTTTCCATAACACAAGCTTTAGGAACCGAATGTGAAGGAAAACAGTAGCACTGAGATGTGTGATTAAAATTTATTTGAACATGTTAATCTCTCCATATTCCTGACTATCAACAAGTTTTCTATGGCCCACACAAAATAAGGAGAAAAATACAAAGCTTCCCTACCTTCGGTAGTGAGGAAGCAAAACATCAAAATCGAACCATTCGAATGTTTCCACCAAAGATACGGTCTTTTAAAATTTCGTTTATCCCAATTTAGTTTAATATTTTCAATAACTAACCGTTTTAGTCAGGTAAAAAAAAACCTCTTGCTGAATTTCTATTACATTTACTTATTCCATTATAATAAACTATGCGCCGAAGAATTAATGGATGCACAAGCCACGAATACATCCTACAGTCAATTCATAGTCGGAAGCGAAATCCTTTCTCCCTGATTAATGGGTGCCATAATTCCTTTATGAGATCAAGGAGTTTCGCGCAAATGCTCAGAGAAGGAAATAAACCCTCTATGACTTTTGTTCTGGTGTTCCTCTTGTATGGTAAACTGCTGGCCATGTAGTAATAGAACTGCATCGCTTTTGAGACAATAAGGGCCAAACTACTGGAGGAAACTGGATTTCCATATCATCACAAAGGACACTGTCCCTCAGTCAGTAAGGATAACTACCCGTATCATGAAGCTTTCGTGTATGGGTGGAACGAGGGGCGGGGTGACTAAGCGGGCTAACGCGTGTGTTTTGTCTTGGCTTTAATCCTCCGCTCTCACCTCCTGGTTCGGGAAAACCCCGTATAGCCTAAAAGGAGAGAAAAAAAAAAGAACGAACCAATAGAAGTCCATCATTCCAACCTCCTTCAATAAATTAGAAAAACAAATAATTAGGAAAAAAAAAAAAAAGTGATACAATAGCTTGAAAATACAAGAATTGTGTAATTTTTTTAAATAAAAAATAAATTTATTTCTTATTAAATGAATTCATGAAACATATTAAAAATGTTGTTATGCGAAATGAAAGTAAAACTAGATGTTCAATGCCAACAATTATTTCTCAAGTATGCTCCATTCCTTCGCTGAACCTCGAACCTCCTCATAGCCTGCAATAGCAGATTGAAAATTTTGCAATCAACATCCAAGGATTTTTACGCCCATTTAATACTAATACTTCAATTATACTTTCAGAGCCCACCAATCCGCAATTTATCTCGGCATTAACCTAAGCGGTCACGTTTCGCAATTGTGCAGAATATTAAAAAGTATAATGATGTTTTAAAGGTTTCTTGGCAGTAGAAATTTATTTGTTCAGTAAATTTATAAATTTGTTACTGCAGACATGTAAAGGTTTAGTGGAGCTAAATATTTAGAAGACATTGGCAAGAATTGTTATACAAGTGATTCTGCACACAATTACTTTTTCTTCTTGGTTACAGCCATTTAGGAGATTTTTAAATCAAAAATTAGTAATTATGAAAAAAAATCGTCATGTAGGCCTTGTTCATTGTAAACCGTTGATGCCAACAAAAATATCAAATTCATCATGATCGAAATTCAATTTCAAGAGTCAATTAATTTTTTAATAATTTTTATGTTGCGTTTTGAATTTTTTCTGTGTATTTTTGAAGTTAAAACGTCTTTAGGCGCGTTTTCCACTTTTTTGTAGATAGTGAATACGACTAGATCGTAAGCTTGGATATGTAACGATCATTCTGATTTCCGTAGAATTCCTTCTTCCGCGATTTTCATCAAAAACAACAAATATATAAAGATGAACTTAAGTAAAATCTTTCCATTTGCGTCTCTGTACACTTTTCAGAGGTTGGCCGTTTTTTTTAATGCTGATGTTTTATTTATCATGAAAACTTGACTTTACGAACTTTAAGTATATCATAAATGGCATGACAATATTTTCCTTCCGCAAATTTACAAAGTATTTTTTTTTTTTCATGTCCAATCTGGTTTTCAATCAATGTTTGCTGTACTGGCTTAGACATAAATTATCCATTATTTTCACATACCACTTGAGTTAAGCCTACATAACAACTGGGTGTGAGTACGTTCAATAACAACGGCGATTGATTATAAGCATATTTTCATTCTTCAAGTACGCTGGCAGGTAATGAATACTTTCGAGTATCGCAGATGGGAGCATTGCACGCGACAATGTACATTATTCTCTCGCCTATCGAAGGGCGGGAACAAAAGGTGCAATAGGTACAATGGAAGTCCAGGTGGGATCCTCTCCATCCCCCAATCTGGATGGCTGACATCTGGTTTTCGATATTCGACGCTGCCATTTAACGCGTAAATAATCATCCCCAACTATATTTCCATATCATTAAATTTAAAAAACAAAGAAAGAAAAAAAAAGTTTTCTACCATGAACACGATTTTGTAAAATTCTTGAAAATTTGATTAATAACAAAGGTTGATTAAATCAAAAGGATAACTTGGACAATACTTAAACATCTAATTCCATTATTTATTTATTTTTAGTTAAAATTTTCATTTTTTTGATAAAAATGATTTGTCCATTCAAAAATTTGTCTATTATAATAAAATATAATAATACAGTTGAGAATATCACTTCGTAGAATTTCTTATTCAGCAGATAACTTACATTCTGTTTTCACATCTTTTATGATAGTTTTTAAATTTTTTTTTATTATCTCGTCTTTCCTTAATTCTGATGAAGCATAAGCCCGAGTCGTCAATTCAAAATATATATTTTTTTTTTTTCACTACTGTGTCTAATTGTTTAAAACTTTGCAACTGCATTATCTTCATTTTCGAGACTATTTCTTCGTCATTATAATAATTACAATAACTTCATTAGGAAAGTAAAGTGTTAAAATCCATGAGATAGGATATTATAAATTCAAATCGCGTGTAAACTAAAATTCGTGTTAAATAATAATTAAATTTATTGCCACAAATATATTTCGAATTGACTTTTCCCCGAAGACAATATATATATATATATATATATATATATATATATATATATATATATATATATATATATATATATATATATACATATATATATTTTTTTTAAGCCATGTTTAGCTTTACTTTCTGACTTTAAATAACATAATATTTAATAATTATATATCCAAAGTTAGCAGTACAGTACCTCGGAGGGATTTGAAATAAAAGCTCTCCGCGTTTTTAAACAAATTTGCGAGATACGGAAAACAATTTGATTTCAGAATAATCTAAATATGGCTGTGTTATCTAATAAATTCAAATCCTTAGAGTTTATAATCTTTGTTTACCTCATAGCTTCAGTTCTCGGGATATGCTCAGAACTTCTACTAGTTTCATTAATTTATAAGCTCTTGCGAAATAGTTTTTTCTTCTAAATATGCCGTGATGTTTACTCTACTTAAAAAAACTCCTTCAAAGCTGTTAAGGGTATGTTCCATGACAAATATATTAGTTATTTTTGGTTTATAGTATTGTATCATTACTGTTGAAGTTTTAGTGATTCGATGAATTACGTCTTCACTTATTTCTAAAATGATTTTAATTAGTTTGATTATCTCAAATTGTTAGATTATTTCGTTGAAAATAGTCGGCGGACGTGAATCTTTTGTTTAATATTTCTATTCCCTATCCAAACACTAAACAATAGTTTTTCCATGTTTATTTAAACTTAATTCAAACATAGTTGTTAACAAACTTGTATCAATTTGCGTCTCGGCCAATGAAAGATCTCATTATTTACAAATTAAATTTTCACTATAAAGCTCACAAAAATTTAATTTCTAGATTTTCCAATGATTTATTAGTTAAGTTGTTTATTTCGTTACGAGATTATCTTGCTAAAAAATCAATTAGAGAGAAAACAAAATTAAATTTTATTAATACAATACAGAATAATGATAAAAAAAGAAATTTATGAGGTAATCTTATGTGTAATAGAGTCTTTCCTATTTTTTTATGATCCAATTTATTTATTCAATACATACAATAGTTTAGAGAAGTAATTATCTTATTATTACTAAAAAATAAATTAATAAAAAGACCTCTTCATCACTTATTAAATGAAATGAATTTTGGCATTCATCATCTTTTGCATATTCAATATTGCTGGGCATATTCATTATTTCTAAACTCAATATAAGATTTTAATTTTCATTGTGATATGAAAATTATTATTTATTAAAAGCTTTGCTGATATGCAAGGATTCAGTTCAATGATTATGATGTTAGTAAACCCATGAAATTAAGGTCAGAATCCGGGCTTATAACAACCTCCTGTAAATTTAAAATATTAAGAAACCTGCAGAAAGATGAGCCCTGCTGACTTAAGATATATGTTTTCCCCTTACTTTATTGTTCTAATTAAGAGTACTCACTTTGTAGAGGCAGAGTGTGCCTCTGGAGAGTCTCCCGAACCTAGTGTCAATCCACTGCTGATGTAACAGAAAAAATAATTATCTGCTACAACCGAACTGGAACATGGGTCCCAGAGATAATATCATAGTGCCTTACTCACTGAGAAATACCGCTCTCGGTCAAATAATGTGTAATTATTTTTTGCATGGTATTTATAAATGTTCTTTTGATGTTACAGAGGCAATTAGATAAGGGAAGTGATTTACTGGAAGAAGCTGTACAATGCTCTAGCCCAAGTTCCTCTGGACTCAGAGACCTTGCTAGGTCACTGAAGAATCATCTTAGGGGTTTCAGCGACCGGCTTGAAGACACCAGAGAGCGGCTCGAAGATACTTCTCGATGTTTTTACCTTCTTGATAGAGTGAGTTAGCCTCATTACTATTATTTTAATTTTATGTACTGCTGAAGTAGTAAATAGAATAAAATGTTAGAAAGATTGAGTAATATTATTTTTTAAAATATTTACCACGTTCCAATATACATTATAAGAGATTACCAATTCATCTCTGATTTTTATAATTATAAATAATGTTTAAAACTTTACAAATTTTCAGTATTAGAAAATTAAACTTCAGAAAATTGAAATGTAATTATTAATCATCATTTTATTGATCTATCAAAATAAACTTTTTATTATCATGATGATTACGACTTTTTATTTTAAGTAGAGAATGCTATTGAGACCTTCATTCTATTACGAAATGTTTTATTGTTTAAAAATACGAAATGAGTAATATTAACAATAAAATATAATACTATCAATTATAAAAGAAATTATAATCTTTAAAAATGTATTTTGCTTTGTAGGCCTATGAATGGGCTCTAGAAGCTATGAAACATATGAGCCCAGTCAAAGGAGAAGAATCTCTGTCTTCTGAAACCAACTTGAAGCAGCTCGAACAGTACCTGATGGCACATCCTCAACCATCGTCAGATCACTTTAATGAAATGATAGCTCTAGCAACAAAACTTGATAATGATAAGTTGCTTAATCAATGCAAGGTCAGTAAAAGGTTTATTACTATTATGTAATGCATTCACAACATTATTAGTAAGAATGAAAAAGAACTTAATTAGTTGAATATTAATTTATTTATTATAAAATTTTATTGTTCTTAAAATAATTAAATCATAAAAGCTTAATAGCAGGAGCACACTATCAGTTTTTATTTCATTGCTAGCCTAATGTTCAAAATGTAAAAGACATTGTAGGATCAATAAAAGTATATAAATATTTTATGATACTATAAAACATACATTTTGTATTACATAAATTAAGACTGTATTGAAAGGAAAATATTGGCCACACTTTCCGATATCTGTCTCTTGAATCTGATGGTCAGTATCAGCTTTTTGAGGAGTTATGGGATGACAAATAAAGAGATTACTAACTCAATAGAATTGCTCTTAGAATCAAGGTTTATAGACAATGCAACAATAAGAAAATTTCTCTCAAGAATTTATTTAATTGTTCATTACTTCAATTCCACATCAAATATAACCAACAATTAGCACTAGAGGATGTAAACTATATTCAAATCATCTAATTTTTGTGTTAATTTTGAAAAATATTCCTAATTTAATTCATATGACTTTTTATTTATTTTCACATCACTGCTAAAGTATAATTATCAGTTGTTACAAAACCAAACCAAATAATAAAGGGGGAAGACTTAGATTTTTGCTTTTGGAGATTCCTTAAAATTCCTTTTTTTTTATTTCAATTTTTTATTGATATTATTATTATTATTATTCAGCTAGCACAATGCAGATGTGAAGACACTGCTGAACAGATTAAAGCACTGCTTGGACCTGAGCCGCGATGGCCTACTAGAAGGAAGTCTGCACCTTGTCGCGGAGAGGTAATACATTATATGATTATATATATATATATATATGATTTCTTCTAAAACTTATTATTTTTTATTTTTATTTTAAGAGTGAGGAAGATGCAGAATGGAATGCAGAAAAAACCTGGCATTATACTAGTGATGAAGAAGAAGATAAACTAACTTCTTCAGCAGACAATACAACTGAAGGGTCAGAGAGTTGTCCAAAAGGGTAAAGTCAATATCTGTTTATATTAATCATGATAATCCATCATTACTCTAAAAATTAAATATTATTTAATAATTTGTTTGGCTGTCATAATGTATAATCATATACTTTAGTTGTGAAGACATTGACGAAAGTGATGCTTGTTGTGGAAAAGCTGTCAGCCCAATACCAGTTAATAGTCATCTTCATACAGACCTTTCTGTGGAAGTAGATGGTCAAGGTGGAACCCAAACGCTAAAAACTAAAAAGTAAGATTTATATATATTAGAATCATATTTTATTGTTCAAATATTTGTTCTACTAATTGGACTTTTTTACATATTGGGTAAATAAAAAAAGTAACGTTGGATTTTCGAAAATTTAAAGAATTCTGTACAATGTCGTATCTGTTTTCAATAATGTTTATTTTTATGGGAAAAGAACAAAAGTTGTATTATATCCATTTAGAACTCAAAACTGAATACTGTTTTTAATTTTACAGGACAATGTTACTTATAATGAAAGAAATGATACAAACAGAGAGGGATTATGTCAGATCTCTTCAGTATGTCATAGAGGTAAACAAATAAATATTTATCATTCTTGAAATTTACATAACTTTGATAATAAAGTAAGTCCCTAATCTCTAATTAATTTTTTTCAGAATTACATACCAGAATTAGTCAGAGATGACATCCCTCAAGCTCTGAGAGGACAGAGAAATGTCATTTTTGGAAATATTGAAAAGATATTTGAATTCCACAGCCATTACTTTTTACAAGAGCTTGAAAAATGTGAGCAGAATCCTCTTCAAGTGGGCCAATGTTTCCTCAGACATGTAAGATTCTAAAATTTATTAACACATACATATAGTCATTAACTTGACTTGATCTTTCATGTCGCATATAATATCAGATATGAAGAAATTGATTTATACATTGTATAGTCTTAACAAATTCATATATTTTTATCTTCTTGTCTCTATTCTATAAGACCATGGACGTATGGAGGGGAGAGCCGGTATCATTCAATAAAAATTAAAAATATTAAAAACAAATTAAGAAATATTTTTATTTTTATAATTCATAAAAACAATTGAAAAAATATTTTTCGATTATAGTTATATATTCGTTTTATGTAAAAAAAAAAAAAATTATAAATTGTAATAACAACATCCAGCTTAGTATAATATTTGAATAAGAGTTTGAAAACATTAATCTACCTGAGATTTTCTTTTATTCAGTCTAGTTCACCCCTCCAATATAAAAATTTTGAATCCCCTTGTATCAGCTAAGATCAATTTTTTTTTCTCTGTTTAAAAATATACCACCATGTGTATTAGTTGTTTTTAAGTTTTTCAATAAAATGACAAGAGTTCAATCAAAAGCTTTTTTTTCAGGAAAAGAAATTTTATCTTTATGCACTTTATAATAAGAACAAACCAAAATCAGATGCTCTTATGTCCGAGTATGGAACAACTTTTTTTAAGGTAAGAACTCAACTATTTGTAATCAGCATATTAGCTTACTATTTATCCATTCTTTATCTTTTTTTTGTGTAGAACTCAAAATGTGAATGGTATATTTCTTTTAATGCTAATTTCTTTTTAATTTTTAGACTAAACAAGTTGAATTGGGTGACAAAATGGACCTTGCAAGTTACCTTTTAAAACCAGTACAGAGAATGGGAAAATATGCATTACTATTGCAACAGTTAATGAAAGCATCAAGACAAGATGTCTTACAGCTGAAAGATGCTGAAAACATGGTTCGCTTTCAGTTAAGGCATGGCAATGATCTGCTTGCTATGGATTCTTTGAGAGACTGTGATGTTAGTATGATATGATATGATCTAATAAAGACAATAATATGTTTCAATTTTTTTATTTCTCTTAATTTTTCAATTAATGTTCAATCCAAAATGGTCATTTAAAACAAATGAAAGTCCTAGATAAATTATACAATCAGTCATTGTTTTAATCATCTCTTCTACTTCAAAACAAGCAAAATGTTATGTTGTGATATATTTAAAATGTTAAACAACCAGATTTTATTTACTAGTCAAGTAACTATTTCATCCAGAATAAATTACTATTTCATTTCTTTGTTTTATAAAATAAAAACTTATTTGACAAGCAAATTGATAAATCTACGCTATTATTTGTTTGTGACAAATGTACTTACGAGACTATGATATAAAATTGAAGATATTCAGTGCCCAACAAACCAATCAATTACTTCTTTCAAAAATCTGACAAATGCTTTCTAATAATTGGTTCTATATTTAACTTCAGGTTTTTGTGATTAGGAAAGAAAAGAAAATTGTTAGTTGGAAGAATAGTATAAAAAAGATAATTTATTGTCCAGAATTTTCGTTTAAAATTGACAAATCCATGATAAGTTGTTTTTGTTTTAGGTTAATGTTAAAGAGCAAGGTAGACTTCTTAGGCAAAATGAATTTCTTGTCTGGCAAGGAAAGGGAACAAAAAAATATTACAGACATGTGTTCCTATTTGAAGAACTTATACTTTTCAGTAAAGCAAGGAGGTTCCCCGATAATAAGGTTTATAACTATTAATCATTTTCATGTATTTTATTAATAACTACAATATATTTACATCTTTTCTGACTTTTTTTCTTTCTTAAAATTAGAATCTCGATCTTTACATCTATAAACATAGTATAAAAACGAGTGACATTGGTTTAACAGCCAAAGTCGGTGACAGTAGCACCAAATTTGAAATATGGTTTAGAAAAAGGAAGCCAAATGACACTTTTACCTTGCAAGCCATTTCTGAAGAAATAAAGCAATCTTGGACAGAAGAGTTGTCCAATTTATTATGGAAACAAGCATTAAGGAACCGAGGTAAATTAGAAATATTTCAGCATAATCTACTAATAATCAACATAAATCATATATACTAAACTAAATAATCAACGTACTATTATTATCAATACTACTATTATTGATATTACTGACTTGCCTATTAGTTTTTATCACCATTTATAAAATAACATGTTTTATAAGAGATGTTAAATAATTCCAGAAGTGAGGTTAGCAGAGATGTCTTCAATGGGTATTGGAAACAAGCCATGTCTTGATATTCGTCCAAGTGCTAATCAGATTTGTGACAGGTCCATTAGCATCGCTCAACTTACAAAAAGTAAGGTTTTCATAGTAACTTTTACATTTTCTACTTATTTATTATAGTCTAAATTTATATATAAATAAATTATTAATTATAATTGTTATTAAAGACTACCTAGCAACATAATTATTGCCTTATATATTTTTGGTTGATAGTTTTATTTTTATATAAGTTCGAGGATTAATTCTGTCAACAGTAAATTAATAATTACAGAAATTTTAATTATTTTTATCAACAATAAAAATGATTATTCGGTATTTTTATGAAAATTATTTGTTTATATTAAAACAAGCTAAAGGGCACTTTATCTTCTAGTCCTCTTTAATTCACCTAATTGTTTGCTTAACATTATTTATTAAATTTTTCCAAATTTTATGATAGAAAAATAACTTGTGCTTAAAGGAAGTTTTTGTCTCCTTTGATTTTCTTTTACGTAGAAATCGTATATTCCATTATTGCTAGGTATTTGCTTGTCTACCAATCCTTATCCATTCTGACTATATTTATTGTTGTTCTTTTTTTTAAATAATACTTTTATCTAGTCTTTGTAATGAATGTAGTCAATTGTATCGATGAATGCAATGTATTTTCAAGATTGATTTTTTTATTCTTATCTATACTGCCTACCTTAATTTGTTATGTTCTTGTGGACAGTACAGATCAAGGGTCCACTTTTCTCATTTTCTAATTAAATTTTTAATTTCAGCGGCTCCAAGGTTCCGCAATTCTATTGCGGTTTCACCAGTGGAACAAGTCCGAAAGAGGCCACACTCAATTATTTCCGTTACTAGCAGCAGTAGTACCAGCAGCACGAGTAGCACCAGTAGTACAAGCAGTGCTAGATGTGATCGTAGAGAATCGAGCCAATGTTCTTCAGGAGAAAGTGGAATAGTTTCAGACTGGAATACCTCTAGCTCAATAACGTCAGATTCACCGCAACACCACACGCAGCTATCGGTTAAGCTGTAGTGACTGAATATATTATGTAAATATGTTCTAAAATGTCAGTGTATTATATTTTTCATTAAGAAGGATATTTATTAACGGGGGAAAAGTGATCACATGACAAGCGTCCAAAAGTTTTCCTCAGGCAATTATTGTGGCTTCTATAAGCTTTAAATGTAATGTCATAATTTATCTTGATAGAATAACTTATTTTTTAATACTTCACTATCTTATCTTTCAAAAGCCATATTTTTATGTGTTTTTTTCGTTATTTAGATAGTAAAACAATTTTTTAACTGAGATGTCTATACTTGTTTTATACCAAATTGTTTATTATACCATAACAATTAGTATGTTTTAACATATTAATTTACTGTAGTTAGCCAAAGTTCTTCTGCCATATGTGTACTATGTATAAATAATTGTATTGTTTAATTATAGATGTAAAATTAGTTTATTTTAAATTTGTAAATATAGTTGATAAGTTATTGTAAAATAGATTATGTGAAATAGAAATTAGCCTACAGATTTGAGTTTCTTTAAGAAACTAACCAAGTTTTACACATTTATAAACAAACAAAAATAATAAATTATAGTTTTATATTAAAATTTTAGCTGATCATTTCCAGAATTTCTTAACGTTGAGAACGTTACTAATTTTATTATTCAGAAAAATGAGTGAATTAGTGCAAGAATGTATATCTGCAAGACTGACAAATGTGTTATGAGTCGCATACTGCCATATCACTTAAAATGTTTTAAAAAACGAAGGCATGAAGATTTAACTTTTTTTAAAATCCTGTTAATAGAATATTAATTATAAAATTTTTATGGGTAATCGTTGAAAATGTAGAAGGTGCTAAATGCAGAGTGTTTATATTTGTAAATGAATCTAATATTTATATTGATATATGTTTCACATACTTTACGAACTGCTAACCTACACTTAATTCACTAGCATTAACTTTTATGTAACATTAGACATAATTGTAATTAACATCTTTAGAACAATTCATTTTTATTTTTATTATCTATGCGAATCATCAGATTGAATTGATAGTTCCAAGAAATCTTTATATCATAAAATTACATTTTAAATCATGTAGACAGTTAAATGCTTCATTTATTGATTCAGTTTCCATTTCAAATAATTTAATTCAAATAAAATAATCAAATTGTATTTTTAGTTGTTAGTAGATTATTGATTTCAATGGACCATTAATAGAGTACAAGTAATATTATAATTATTTATGTGTCAAATATACAAATATTTCTTTACAGCCTTTTATTGATAATTGATATTTCGTGTAAAACGGAGAGCAAAGCAAAAACACTGTTTTAAAATAAAAATTCAGTTGTAGTCATTAATGGTGTATCCTAAGTATCACTCCTAAACATGGCATATTTTCATACATATATCCTCATTAATAATGGGGTAGATTAGACATTAGCCCACAGAACCACTTGTTGAAGAGCAGGTAAATCTGAGGTAACAAAATAAAAACATAAAGACCAAAAATTTAAGGGACAGAAAAAATGTTTTTATTAATACTGTCTTAATTTATATTAATGATATTGTTGGTTTATTGCAAAAAGTGCTAAGTGCATTTTTTATGAAGGTTAACTTTCAAAAACCTTTTTATGAATTTCAACTTCATTTATCGATACTATTACACTGAAAGGGCATGAACATGAAATCAATCTATACGTTATATATCAAATATAGTGACAACAGGCGCACAACTTTCCAATTTCATAAAGGAAAAATTGTTCAAACTTCATTAATTTTAGGTTATAAAATATCATTAATGACTTTTTGGAATTAACTGATGAACTATTATTCAAAAATACATCTCAAATCCTGCAATCTAAAGCATAGACTGTCGCAGATTGATTTTTAAAAAATTTCAAATGAGGCAGTGGAAATAGGGTGGCCATATTAGGCTAAGATATTTATAAAAAAATAAAATAAAAAAAAATTAGCCACCTTTCCCTCATTCCAGAGAGAAAATCAACTACTTCCTGTGCCTTATTCTTATTCCACTACTGGATCTAGTCCTTGCAGGTGTCCAGAGGGATACCAATGAAATTTGTTCTTTTACCTTTGTTGTCATTCATTTAACGAGTAATGCCATGAGTATAACTAAGAGGAAATTTTAGTTTATACTAACTGATGAAGTATACTTGAAAATATTACGACAAAACCAAATATTTCAGTAATAAATTGCCCAACAGTAAAGTAGGTACTAACGGTCACTACTAGTAGGTACTAATGTCACTAGCAGTAATCAGAGTAACCATATCAAACTGCAGTGACCATTTATTAAATAAGAAAAACTCAAATTATATTTTATATCTTCCTATCTGTCATATTAGATTTCTCATATCATATTTCTGCAATCCCATTTCTTATAAAAGCTGAAGGAGTTCTACTAATACTTTAAATTAATAAGTCTTATAAGACAACTTATTTATTTTTATTTTAGATACCTTGTCAAATCAACTTCATTCAAATGTTTTATTTTATTTAAGAGTCACTCGCCATTTGCCTTATTTACATGAACATTTAACAGAATATAAAATTCCAATTTTGGTTATTGTCAAAAGATTTTCCCAATATTTATAATCAGAGCCTATTCAGAGCTCTCATTTATACTGAAAATAGAACCAGTAAATTGTGTAAAATATTTCTCAGAGGAAAACATTCAAAACATTTGAAGAAACTACATACATACCCCCTCAGACAGTAATGTCTACATCACTGCCTATAGTGGAATACAAAATAGTAGATTTAAGTCTTTTATTTATTTTTTGTTTATCAAGGTTTAGGATTACCAATATAAAATTTGTTGCACCTCTTAACAATGACCTAAACATTCATAAAAATATAAGCATACTAGAAATCCTCAACTTCCTCTTTTACCTCTATTCTGTTATCCCTAAGTAACTTTTTTTGTTTAAATCTTAAAATAAAAAGTCCAATATTCATTTGTTACCATTGGTTTACTTAGAAATCATTTATAATTCTTATTTTCCATATTCTACTCATATATTTTATCAAATCATGAATTGAGGTGCTAATAATTAAATTTAGTAATAGACTTCTGTTCAGACAAAAATGATACCAACGTTTCTACTGAGACTTATTCTTAATAAGTTTCAGTAAAATTATAAATTCATCTCTTTTCCTTTATTTTCCTTAAAGGGAATAGATCCCATGAATAAAATTTTCAATTTTAATGTTAACAAGTTGGTGGTAATTTGTTAACCTTATAACAAACAACTTCATTCAATAAATATTGGTATATTTACATAAAGATCTTCAGTAGATGGCACGGGCGGATCTACGGGGGGGGGGGGGGGGGGGGGGGCTTTCGGGCTGAAGCCCTCCCCCAAAATGGTAAAATATAACTATGTTTTATGGGAAAATATATTAAAAAATTATCTCTTAAAGTATTATTATTGGTGTAATTACATTTAAAAGGACTTAAGGAATCACTTAAACACCATTTCATATAGATAGCTAGTTTCTTTCTTTTTTTCCAAGGTAATTATCGCCATTTTTATGAAAAAAAAAGCTTTCGGGCTGAAGCCCCCCCCAAAATTGAATCCTGGATCCGCTAGTGGTAGATGGTGGTTAAGACTTAAATGGTGCAGAGTAAAACCGAAATACTTAGCTCACAAAACTTACAATAGGATGTTTTGTCAGAGCTAAAATTTGATGATTTTAATTTTCTTAATGAATATCATTCCAATTTTAGAAAGTGATTTGAGAAGTTTAATATAATACAGATCCCACAAGTTAGCTTCTTGGCCATGTGTAAGGAAAGTGCATCAATCACTGTATATTTCTTGCTATAAGTCTAACTTGTCAAATTACTTCTTCATAAAAAACTGCCTTTGGAAAATCAGTTCCAATTGAATATTATAAAAAACTGTTCCCACTTATGTATTAAAATCAACTTCCAAATAATTTGAAACATGATAAAATCTCAAATTATGTGTATTTTCTTTAAAACAAATTAAACCACTGAAATCTTGTTTTCACTTTTTAAAAAAAACGAACGAATATTTTAACAATCATCAGTCATTAAAACAATCTCTTATTCTCTTGTTTTTCAAAAACATGATTCGAGGGTAGTGATAATCTATTGTGTTCTCATACTTCAAAAAATCATTACATAAAATAAAAAATATAGTCCCAAATAATACGAAACTGTAACACCTGACTCTTAAGATCAATCAATCTGAATTACTCAACTTTTATCAAAATGAAAATTCTTATACAACCAAATTTCACTTTATTACATCACAAACAATTGGTCCAAGACACATAAATCAATGGCATGCAAATAAGAATTAAGAACTTCGTCAGTAAATAATATTACTAGTAATTTATTGAACTAAATAACAAGCTGTAAACAGTAACTCTAAAATGCGCTACTTAACTCTTGACAAAGAATACTACTCAGGTAAAATAATACACAAAATAATAGTAATGTGAAAACAAGTAACCAACGCTTAACGCAAGTCATTCAGTAAAAAAACTAAACATATGCTTGTGTTTCCAAGAGCTAACAATATCATAACCACCATCTTGATGGGTACAACAAATTCACGAAGAAATGTGACAATGCTGCCAACATATCTTTATAGCATATCAGAAATACCTCTATCCAAGATGTTACCATAATAAATAGAAATAAATTTGTTTCTGTACTTTTTAAAAACTTGTTTCTATTCTATTTGATGTTTTTATTTGTTTTGTATTTGTGCACAATAGTATCCTATGTCATGGCCAAGTTTCAAAAAACACGTCAAAGTTCAGAAATTGAATAAAAGAAGCGAAAAATAAACCAATAAACCATCTAAACTAAAATATTTAATTTCAAAACACATTAGATTAGTATCTAGTATTTATTAATTAAAATTTAAAAAATATTCAATCAAACCACAAAATTCCAGTTTAAATTCTCTCCAAGTAAGAATAAAAGAGCTCATGTATATAATTATCAAAGCCTACATAAATTCATAACTACAATCCCAAGCTTTGTTTTTATTTTATTTATACATAATTTACTTCAATGTGTCTAGAATACTCCCATGGCACGCAAGTTAATGAACACTTAAGGCAGATACGTTTAGACATTTCACAATTTCGATAATGACCCTAGTGGTTGACGCATTTATAATTTTTTTTTTTTTTCCGCTTACATATATTTATCCGCACCTGTCAATTATTATTGACAATCAGCAGATGTGCTGGCTTAGTAATGAGAGAAAAAAAAATAATAATAATAATAAATAAATAAAAAAGCTTGATAGGCATGAGGAATAGCAATACCCAGCGGTATCCCTTCCATGGCTTATAAAATTTTAAAAAATAAAATAAAGACATTTCACAAACTTTCGAAAAGACAATTATCTAACTTTACTGATTGCGACATTAGCGCTAAGCCCAGCTTGTTTTTAAATTTCTTTTGTTACCAACAGTTGATTGAAAAACATCAAAATCAAGAAACAACCATGTTTCCCATAGTTGGTGAATTAAGTCATGTTTTTCCGCTAAATATATTTATCTAAATTTTCTAAATCCGCCAACTTTAACCCTAAATGTTCAACTATTTTTATCTATAATTTTAACCAAAATAATATATACCTCTAAAGTAAAAAAAGGTTACTTTAATTTTATTTTAATATTCTTCTATTATTAGTGTACTTTCTTCCTTAATAATTCTTATTTCCTTCTCACTCTTTGTCCATAGTTCTAATTTCCCAAAATAAACACTCATAATTTATAGTATTTTCTTTATCATTTTTATTTTACGAATATAAACAAAATTCTATAAAAAATATCTGTAACATGCATTCAACATAGAGGTAGAACTAAAATGCATTCCGAATACATGGAATCAAATTAACCCTAAATGTACTTAGGTCTTTTCAGTAGAAAAAAATCTGGTGCCCGCAACAAACAACTTTCCGCTCAACTTTGAATAGAAATTATTTTCTGACCATGTTGGGCTATTATAAAATTTTTGAATTGCTTTTTTAACCGAGATAAAGCTAAAAACTTACAACTTACAAATCATAAATTCCATTAAAATAACAGAAGTCCTATTTTGTATATCACCGGTTGCTTATGGATTATACGATCCGTTGATTATGGATTGTACAACTATTAGTTATTAAACTGTTATTTTCCATTGCAAAGTTTACTAAAATGGAATTAAGAGATTTTCATTCTCTGTCATAGTCATAGGTCAGAAGTTGCCTCACTAATTGTAAGTAGATACTGTTGTAATATCTCAAAGGGGAAATTTACCAAATTTTACACTAATTTAATTTTCTAATAGGTAGCATGATGATTTTTCGGAATAAACGAACAATAGATGCCTAATGATTTAAAT